TCAACAACGAAGGATCCTAGGTCGAAGGGAATGAAGGTCGAGCTCCCTCTCGACAGGGAGAGCTAGCGCAGAAGTCCAGTCCGCTACATCGAGGCAATCCGGAGCGTGAGACCCAAGAAGAATCCTGAGCCGGTCGTTCATTTCGTGTGTGCGTGAAACCCATGACGAGACGGGAAACAAAACGCACCAGGGAAGTCCAATCCGTGGAATGTTCGAGGGATGCGTTCAATCAGATCGCTTGCAGGAGACCCAGGTGGCCAGAACGACGACATGGGTCGATTCTCAACAACATTCACGTAAGCCCCGTGGGCATCCAGAATTCCTCTCCTCTGATGTTCGAAATCACGATGGTGTTTCTCGCTTAGGCCTATATCGTATTTTTACGTATCCTTAAAAAATGAAATGGAAAATGCGTGGAATAGTCGAGACAGTCATGGGAGCGAATTCTGCATTGCTTGACGCATCGTCTTTGGAGTTGACGGGAGGCGTCAAAGACTCGATCGTTCCCGATTCCCGGCTAGACCCAAAAAGTCTCGGTGTAGGAATGAATCCCGGCTGGAAGGAACCTTTGCCGACGCATTTTTGCTGCGAAATCGTCTTCCCCAGACTCAAGTTCAGAGGTGACATTTTGCATGACGTGAACGGATGGAGACTCGTGATATGTTCGAGGAGATCTAGATGTTCGAGGCGGTGACCGGGATGTCGAATCCTGTGGTTGACAACGTTGAAGTTGGAACCGTATTGGGAAAATCGAGATTACTACGCAAACGCTCGACCTTCTAATTAATTTACTCCAGACGAATCCGTCGCAGCCACCGTTCGCTGTATCGGATCGAGCGCTTTGAATCACTGTCAGCGGAATGCGAGTGGTCTGTAAGGGGATGGAGCATCCCGCTCAGCCCCTGGCTGGAGGGAACCAGAACTGAAGCTCGCTGAGTACGCTTGTCAGGCACCGAAGGACACGGGGGGAGGGGGGTTTCTAGTCGCCAGTCTGCTCTGACGTTGAAGTCGCTAATTTGACGAGCTGAGACAATCGTTCACGGCTGGAAACTTCGGGAGCGGACGGAGCAGACGTCGATGTCTTTGTTCTCTTCCGTTGATTACGGCGAGCAAGGCTGACAGGAGAGAGAGAAAATCGACGACGAGAAAGAGCGAGGGAGCACGGAGATAGCGGAGACTATCGATCGCGCTCAGATTTTCCGGAACGAGGAGCAGCTCGCTCCTTGAAAGTTAGCGATACCGCGACTTGCCTGGCAGGAGTTGTCTGGATGTCTCGCTGGGCTCCCTGGCGGTCCTCTTTATTTTCCCGCGTTCTGCCCCGGCAGCGGTGTAAGACAGCTGGAGGACGTTTAACGGAACAGCACGTAACACCGCTTAATGAAATTAAGAAACACGCCTGTCGTTGAGAGCCACCTGGACCTGCGATGTCTCTCGGAAACTCCGATCCTAGCGGCGAAATCTCCGGATCCGAAGTAGCGACATGCCGAGGCGATCCGACCGTGAGCCTGCCTTGACGCGCACTCGCTGTCCCGAGAGTTCTTCTGGTTGGACGACGCGCCTCGAGCTCGAACCACGTGTCGGGAAACTGTTTGGAACTCGAGCCGTAGTGACAGCTTACGAACCTCCCGTCCGCCCCCTCCCCTGGCCCAGAGGTTCGAGGGCAGTACGCTCCTGCACGTCGACGTGCGATACTCGACGTGCAATAAGTTTTGGCTTGTGGGGCGGCGAGGAACAAAGAAAAGGCAGCGACCACACACATACCACTCGCCAAAGTGTTTTTCGATTGGAAATCTTTTCCCAATTTACGCAGCTGCGGGCCCGAAACTGGCACGAAGAGACGAGTGGGAGAAGCACGAAAGCAGAAAGAAGCAACCGCTGGTGTTTCGTAACTCGACACCAAGCGCAACGACGAAGCAAGCGGTCCATTGACTCGTTTGCACAGCGAGCCGGCAAATCGTATCACGCCATGTGGTTGCTTTGAACGATGCTTGTCGAGGGTACGCGGCTTTCATTTCTGAATTAGGGCGGCTGCGGGGAGATTTGCTCAAGGAGAGATTGATGGCCATGACGGGGAACTTACGCCTGTTTGTCGAGAATCTCGCGTAAACCGCCATAAACCATTCTGAGATTTCGAAACGACGCGTGGAGCCCATTCACCGTTAGACTTTTCTGCAGTCTCACGGTACATTACAAATCCAGGCGGAGCCTACGGAGTGGTTCCCTCGAAGGTTTCGACGAAACCACGATTGGTACAGACGACTGATCCTTGCCGAAATTGACGATGTATTTTTCCGCTTTTCAGGAAAGGCCGCTTCGGAGGTCATTCATTCGGAGGGAGCTCATCATCCGGACAGGACCTGAAATATGAGTAACCGCCACTTTTTCGGTAAGTCACTGACAAATTGCTTCGGGCCGGGGCTCAGACTGATTGAAACTTCGTCATTCGTTCGACTCTGTCTGGATACGTTTTTCCCTCCGTCGAATGAAGCCGGATCAATGGACCCTGCTCCTACATACCTACCTCCCCAGCTTTGCGAGAGTTACGCCCCGGGAGGACGAAGGGGAAATCCTTTCTCGAAGACAATGAGAACGGATGCCGACCGCGAAAATCTTCAGCTGAGAGTATTCCGGACGTTCCCGCTCACCGCGCCCCATTGCCGATCAGGGACGGCATGCATTAAGGGCACACTCCCCGGAGCGATCTCGCTGCAATCCCAGGCACTTCCTGGCAGTTGGGGCCGCCGCGGGCGTGAAACTTTAGAAACATCCGGTCTTTCCAATGATTTCCAGTCCAGGGCGTCGAGGCACTCTCAGGGTGCCAGAGCGCCCGCGGCGTCGACCGGCGGAGCGGCACTCGGCTCGAATACCTCTGCTCGAGTTGTTGATAATAATACGGGCGTCTCTTCCTTCTGCCGCCGAAACTACTGATAAGCGCTCCGGGGCTAAGGCTCAGTCTCTGCACTTGAAAGAGGCTCGCGGAGAAGGGTTGCAGAAGATCAGCGAGCTCGACGGGCTCCAAGTTGCGAGCCGATCCAGGGAGAAGGAAGAGAATTGGGTGGAGTTAAGTAATCATCTGCCAGGAGTGCAACAGATGGCGTGATCTTCAGAGTACGCTTGCGACTCCGAGGAGGAGAGAGTTCGGCGTCGATTCGCGGGTCTCCGTTATCTGGCACCCTTCCTCTATTTCCATTTCCATCTTGTCTGGGATCCATCCCACGCTAGGTCGGTTTTTGCCGTCTGTTCCCCGTGGAGCGAGCGATTCCAATGACTCCTACACTAGAACCTTCTCTCCCATTACCGAGGCTCCCTTCAGTCGATCCTTCCCGGTGCCCTGAAGGAACTCTTCCGCGCGACCCCGAAGCGTGAGGCTAAAAAGACTCGAATCGCAGTATCTCTCCCTCATTGTCCCGTTCGCACCATACGTTCATCCGTCCTGCCGACCGACTGCGGCTGTCCCCGACTTTCATCCTCTCCGAACGTCGCAGACGAGCCGTGGAGTGGATCGTCCGCACGTAGACAAAATTCGATCCAAATCTTATCTTTTAATGAGCAGTCGCCCGGTTGAATAGATCCGCTGAGGTCAACGGAACGCCCCAGTAGTTCTCTCACTCGGTATCCGACTCCGTCGACTTGATCACACCGACCTCGAACAGAACGCCTCGATCGTCCGCGTCGCCTTAAATGCTCACCAACTCCTTCCCCTCATTCTCCTGGATATTTTGCTCCGTCGCCGCTCCGGAGAATTTCCTGGTATCGCCGCCGCCGCCGAATCCGCAGTAACGGCGCCCGATTCTCGACCGACCGGGATCGATCGGTACGTTCTTCCGTTCGGTATCCCAGTCATGGTCGGCTGGCAGACGTCGACGCATTGGGCTCCTCGTTATGCGTTGTTGGGAGAATGAAACAGTGAACTGTGAGATTCAGGGCTGCTCTTTGTCGAATTGGCTCGCTTTTTATCGGAGACTTCGGTTCGGACTTGCCAGCGGTCGATCGACCCATCGACCGATCGCTCAATCCGAGCCCCCTGGGTCGCGCTGTCGTATTGACCCGAACTCGAATGGTTCCTCATCGCGCGAGAACTCAGTCAGACGAAGGATGAGATTCAAGACACGCACCTCATGCACGTCGACGAGAGTTTCCGCTTCGAGAAAAACTCCCATCGAGACTTGTGAATACACCCCTCATCTCGAATCTTGACAGCCTATATGGGACTCGGGTTGGAAGACGATGATCGAAGTAAACTTATGACGGAATCCGCCGAGCGGAGATCAGAGGAACCTGCCCCGGTCGGACAGGAATTGGCTTCGTTTGAGTTAACTCAGACGCGACAGAGTATGGAAAAGTTTGCCGAGTCGAAAATCTCGTTGAACTTGCTGCTGGAATTTCTCGCCGGAGTTCCTCAAACCGCGGGAATCCCCCAATGTGAGCCTAGCGGATACAAGGTCGACTCTATCGTGGTCGGCGAGATTCCGATGCCCTCAAGTCTACGCAGAGCGCAGAGCCATCGCGCATCGGATCGAGGATCCTGATTCATGATCAGGTTTGATCCCGATCTGAGCTGGGCTGCGGGAAAAGATATTTCCTTCTCATTCCGATTCGGTCGAATGTGAGACGGACTACTCGCCTGGCGCGGAACTCGCGCACACTCGTTCGTATTAATCGAAGTTTCCCACCGAAGGAATCGATCATCTCACTAAGTGCTTCTCCTCCGGTTAAAGAAACACTGTTTTGAAAAGAAAATTGAGAGCTCGCGAGGGACTCTAAATTGTTTCGAGAAACTTCCTTGCCCGCAGCGATGGGAACGCAACGTCTGCAACTGTCGACGAACATGATCAATTGGAATGAGGTTGCTCGGCTCGACTGTGGACACTTGCGGAGAACATTGGGACCCCGATACCGTAGTCGAACACGGGAAACCTCAGCGAGGGTTCCGTGGGCGTTCGGCGCCAATTTTTTCCTCAGCTGAACGGAGAGCATCCTGTGAGTCGCTTTGACGGTTGATGTCTATCTTCATTGCAGTCATCATCGGATGCCTTCTCATCGCGCTCTGCGGGGATCGCGGTTACTGTGATGAGCAGGAGTATCGCCTCACTCGGTATTTGATGAGTAATTACGATCCTGCCGTCCGACCTTCCGAAAACGCGTCGTTACCCCTCTCAGTGAAAATCCAGGTCCTACTCCAGAAGATCCAGCAGCTGGTGAGTTCAAAATCGATTCGGGGGCAGAGCCTTTCTGAAATCCTGGAATGTCAGACCGAAAAACTTCTTCGCGGAAGGGTAGCGTGGCTGCATAAAATATCCGTTGCTAATTTCTTTAGGGGATCAGTCATCCTCCCCCTGGGCTCGTAGTGATAAAGCGTTCCGTCCCGCATAACGTCCTCGATAAATGTTATATTTCGTATGGAAGCGGAGTCGACATTCTCCAAGAGGTCCTCCTCAGAATTGAAGGCTCAGAGTCCGGCGCCCATAATCGAATATCTTGCTTCATGCAGAGGACTTATTAAATATCTAGATTGCCAAACTGGTCACTAAATGACGGCAACGTCGGAGATATTCGACTCCGGTGGTTTTCCTCCTCTTCCACGAGCTGAAGTAAGTTCTTCGTTCCATTTCCTTCTGCTGCCACTGCTCGCCTTGGCGGATTTCGACGTGGTCGTCATCGCTGTCGCCGTTGATCGAACGATCGCCGAAACAGGAGTACGAAACTAATACTGTGAAGGCAAACTGGAAAGTTGTTCAGGCAAGTTTTCTCTTCACTCTACCTCACCGATCACGGCAAGCGGCTATTTATCGCCGCTGCAAGTACGGCTTCTCCTGGCGCTCGTATTGGCGAGTTATAAAAACTGTATCACGTTTGCTAAGCCTGCCGGCCGACATGTCCGCTCTGCCAATTCCTCTCGAGAACAGATTGGAGCGAAAAAGTGAGAGAGCTCAGGCTATTGCGAGCCCGGATTCCTGCCGAGGATTTTTAGATGGGCTTCGGCATGGCCGCCAACTCATACCGAGGATCACTGCCGAGCCCCGAAATTCATTTGTGATCGTCGGAACGAAATCCTTGATGTTGCTGGTGTTTTTCCCTCTGTGCCCGGAGCTCGCGGAGACATCTCGAGGAGAATAATTCTCCCGGTCGAACTCGAATCTCTCAGAAGACGTCATCCTCCAGTCGGCTACAGGGGATTCTCTCATTGTCGATGGGCTTAGAACCCTCGTATGGGAAACAAAGCGACACTGTTCGAAAGAGATTGCGTCTTCCGCCCATTCCACGGGCGAATTCGGCTGAGACCTAATCCGTAGGTTACTCGCCGGAACGGCTCGCTCGAGTGAGTGGAGTGAACGAACGGGACCGGAGGGAAAGGTCCTTGAAAGAGCGCTTCACTCAGCGGGGATTGGGTTCTGCTAATTGCATGGCTCAAACCCACATCGCTTAAAGGATCATTTGTCGGTCCGTCGGTTGGTCGGTCAGTCTGTCTGTAGGTCAGTTCTTCTCTCGATCGGTCGACGTAGCCTTTTGAAAGCGGAACACTTGTTGCGGCCGCATCGAGGGACGGCTTTTCTTCTTCGGGATGATTGATTGAGATTTCTGAACTTTCTTCTTCCATTCAGCTGAATATTCATTTCGAAAATTTTCTCACAACGCAGAGATGGAACGACGCCCACTTGCGGTGGAACTCTTCCGATTTCGGGGGAATAGCTGTCCTGAGAATACCCTCGAATCAACTGTGGAGACCTGATGTCGTTTTGCTCAATGGGTGAGTCCATGCGTGGGGGAAACGTGATCCGATGGATTCCTGCGAGAACCTTGATGATGGTTTGACTCACGTAGAACAACAAAAACTGAATATTTCTTATCTCCCAGCAATACAGCGGATCGCCGCGAAAGCCACGCCGTAGTTCACAGTTCAGGCGAAGTTGTGCTCCTAGAGGAGCGTAGTCTTCACTCCTGGTGTCATTTCGACAAGCTACATCTCTTCCCATTCGAAGTACATCTGTGCAAGCTATCACTCGCTTCTTGGGCCTACGATGCTTCCCAGGTAGGTCACGTCTGCGTTACGTGATATCACCGCAAACGACGGCTGTTATTCCGCGTGTGATTTGTGATCGATTCGTCAAGCCTTCCTGCTCGAAGAAGACCGAGTCGAAGAGGTAAAAAGTTCCGGCTGAACACGATGCATCCCTCGAGTGAGTTTTTCCCTCTCTCACTCCTGCAGATCACCATGGAGACTCCGTCATTCGGCGTCGACGGACTACTTACGAGGCCATCGCTGGAGTTCGTTCACGAATTGATATCGTCCGATCCCGCGCCGAAAATAATCATCACAGATACAATCGCTCGCTCGACGGTCAATCTCGAGCTCCGGCTTCATCGGAGGAGTCCTCTCAGTCAACTAATGTGCCTTTTGTTACCCGTAATATTGGCTAACATGTTGTCGATCATCGCGTTTTTTGTACCTTCGAATTCGGGGCAGAAATTGACCATCTCGACGCAAAGTTTAATTGTTCTCTGCATTGTCCTTGTGTATATGCATCATGCGATGCCAATCTCATCCGAGAGGGTACCTTTGTTGGGTGAGTGACACCAATCGAGCTCTTGCTGCTCTTTACGCGGACGACGGTTTATTTCTACAACGCTGTGATTTTTCGAGCCTTTGGTGAATTGAAGAGGATTTTTCAGTGGTGTACGCCGGATGTTCAGCAGTGATGGTATCCTTATCAATCCTCTGCTCAGTGCTCACATTGACGCTGCACAGCCAGTCCGGATGTCGACTGCGACCGGCGGCTGTGCCTATGACTCTGAAACGCGTCATACGAATATTGGCGAAGCTCTTCGTTATGGATTGCTGTTCCGTCAAAGCTTCGGACAGCGATAAGAAGGAAAAGAATCAATTGGTGAGTATCCGAAGCGAGAGCAAGTTTTGATCTGAAGCAGACGCCCTTCCTCCGAATCACTGACTTGTCTTGAAAATCCATATTCCGAATCCACAAGGCTCGTCGGCCGGGAACGTCGGAGAGGATAGAGAGGAACAGCATTAACTCGGGGGCTGGGTTCGCGTGCGTGAAGAACTCGGTGCGCTAGCCGGCCTGACGTGCCTCGCGGAAGGCGGACCAGCAACCGGTGATTGATTGACTCGCTCGCTGACTCACTCAGTCAACCATCGACCAGCCGACTCCGTAGAAGCGATCTAGCGAGGGCGACGAAGCAATCTGGTCGAGGAGGAGAAATCATCTCAACAGGAAATACAAAAGCAATATTTACCTGCTCGTCATATGATAGAGGGCGCGCAAAGGAAATTAACTTGCCGTTGACGCCGGAAGCCGGCCAGGAAGCGACAAGATGGCGGATATCGAGAGCAAGAAGCTTGTCCATCCGGAGAGCCCTTGCGGAATATACTCTGTCTGGGAGCACACACGGTCTCAATAACACGCATCGTGGTGCTTACTGATTCGGCTCGCAGATCGATCGGAACGTCTCAATTTCCCCCAAGAGCTACTGAGACCAAAGAGAAGCACTGGAGGCTCGGAGAGAAGCATTGTAATATAAGACATCGCCTTCCAGGACACTCCGAAGGCCCCAGTGGAGTTCACCACAGATCACATTGAACACTACAATTTCTCACCTTCTCTGAGGTCACACAGGAAACAGTTTCTCTTCGACGGTACGGCTGGTATCGCTGCCGACACCAGTGCAGGTGGGTTCAGCTTTCCTCAGTCTCGGCAGGTTTTTGACATCATTGGGAGTGTTTAGAATTTATCGGTTCACAAGGCGAGAGGAATTCATCCTTTCGAACCTTGCATGCTGAAGCTCGCGTCCTCCGTTAGGGGAGAGCGCGGCGAGCCGAGTGGAGCGGAGTTACCCCGAGGCTTCGTCGGTCGGGAGTCGATAACTGTTCATGAAGTTTGTCCCCTTTCGAACGCCTAGATATTCCATGGCCTGTGGAGAAGGCATGCGGGATGTGGGACATTACTATAGGACACGACGGGTCTTTTGTCAAGTTGACTTCTACAGACTAATGACTTCATGCACCTGCTAGCCCTGATACCGCTATTCCCCTGACGGACGTTGTAGATGCTCTTGTACTATGTCGAGTAGGTCCTGTGACTCTTCGGGGAACGCGAGCGGCGGAAACACTTTTAAATCAGGCTGCGAGAAACTTCTTTATAGTCTCCCGGCCGGATAGATTCACACGCTGTCGGGAGACTCGAGCGGCCGTTTCAGTCCCGTGTAACATCGCTGCACGTATTTCGCAGGTGGCTTGGGCAGCGTGGCGACAGGCGTCGGCGACTGCGGCTTAGGTGACCTCGTGGGTCAGACTGTGTCGATGGTGTGGCAAGCACCGCCCTTGGCGAAAATCGGTGAATCGGTATCGAGCTTCGACGAACGTCTTCGGGAAGAACTCCGGCGTCAAGACATCCGCGAAGAGTGGAAAACTCTCTCGTTACTGTGTGATCGGGTCTTCCTCGGTGTTTTTTTCCTTGGGTCCGCTGTTACTGCCGCGCTCGTGCTCATCTGTTCGTCGTAATCCGGACTCTACGAAGAATCGAGCCAGGATTGGATTGGAGCGCAACACCATCATCATCATCACTCACTCTTCGTTAAAATCCCATCTCTTAGATAAAACTTCATCTTGTTTGTCTGATATCCCCGAGGTGAGCCTCAAGAATGTCTGAATGAAGCCTCTGAGCAATGACTGAAAATAATCAACGGATGGATCGGGACGAGAGTTCTCGAATCGAAATTGTGAGAGTATTTCGGCACGGGGCAAGAGCTCATTTGAAAACCTAATTTGGGTCAAAATCTTCGATGAGCTCTGAACCTTGCCGAATCAGAAGACTACTAGCTTAATAAGAATGAGAAAACCTAGCTATTTTGACTGGTTTCAGCGGATCTGATTTGAGATCTGAAAACATACATATGTAGATGGAAAAGTCGAGTCTCGGAAACTCGGCTTGACGGAGTCCCTTCATATGACGGCTAACTTTTTCAGAGCACGATTCGTTCTGTTCGCAGATGAGGCGCAGTCATCCCCTCCGAGATACCTCAGAGGTTCTTTTCTCCGTTTCGTTCGGATTCTGGAGACCTCTGTTCTATTTGCCGTTATTAATGTACTATAGTTCTTCTGAAAACGCTCGCAGGAGCGCTGTGTACTGGAATTGAGCGGATGGATTGGCGTTGTTTTCGGTTTAGGTACAGCGACCTTCGACTCAAGCCAGCCGGCGGAAGAGTCCAGAGCACATCAAGTTACACAATGAAAATGGGTGGGACGATTATGATTGTACTTTGAGCCAAGAAGAGAAACACAACGACGATTTCTATAGGTATTTGTCGGATTGTCTATGGATGCCCGTTTGAAGCCCTTCTCGGCAGTAACGAATGTGTTTTCTCTATGTACGTGTACATGCTCATGAACCTCAACAATTGATTATCGTATGTGATAAAGTGCATTTTCTCGGACTTGTGGACCGGGGACAAGGTGCGAAGTTCCGGGGATATTGGGAGAGGGGGGTGAGGGGAGGAGGGAGCGAGGAATTTCAGCGATGAGGAACGATTATGGTTCAGAAATAAGAATCAGATAAGAAACTATAACCGACTCTTTTCTGTCTTCCCAGGATTCCAGTAGAAGAGAGATAGTTCTTGGGTTCACGAGTTACGCATGTACCTCCTTATCATATTTTTTCCCACTCCGACTCCCGACTCGGATCCGCGGGCTGTCTCTGCTGGTGCTCCCGTAGGTTCGATCCGATGCCTATAGAGTGATTGCCATGTAAGGAGGCCGCGCGGCAGACGAGCTTTGATCCCATCGACGGAAACTCCTCCAAGGTGCCATTCGCAAGCTAGAGACCGCCAGGATGATGGAGTCTCAACAGACTCTCTAGTCCTCCCCGGGTCCCTGTCTCCGCGCTCGGAATATCAGCTGTCCGCATGACTGATCCCGTATGATGAAGGAAATGAGCTTCCCCGAGACGTTCCCCTCCTAAACCATGTCTTGCTCTCGAATCCCTCATGTATTCATCATTCTCCAATCGAAGTCTGGAGGCCGGTGATTGCCCGATTTTCAGAACCTTTGAGGCCAAATTTAAACGCATTCTGGACGGCGCGGCGGGCTCCAAAAAGACATGTCGACTTCGCAGACGTTCTTTGATAAATGGGATGAGTGTTCCCAGGCGGGCTTGAGTTAGGACCGACGAGGAAGCGACGAACAAAGCAAGCGAGCGAGCCGGCCGCAGAGTCCGCCGTACCACAAATAAACAAACAGACGAACGGAAAACCATAAGTCGAGAAAGCCAACAAAAACAGATAGAGCTATCCCGAGCCTCCGTGTTGACAGAAAAGTTCACTCCGTACGTCTTCCCCGTCGCGTCAGGCCACCAACGAGGTCGTGGGCGATACGGGCATTCCCTTCAGAGCTTGTGGAATGTAAGTCTCCTACTGCAACAAATTCATTTCCAGGAAGGGAGGAGTCCGGGAAATCGTTCAGGGTCCCGAATGCTAGAGGGGTGCCAACGAGACAGAGAGCTCACAACTGCCCACCGCTCTCGGGGCGCGCGTCTTTGATTTACCCTCAGTACCAGCCTTCCCCCCCCTTTCCCCATCTCGGGTCGCGACACAGACACGGAGCGATCGGGTGGCTCTCTCCGCGTCGGTAGAGCGGCTGACTTTTTGGGTCAGGGGAGGGGGGTTCACAGCTTCGGACAGAGCGAAAGTATTCGGAGCACTGAGGAAAAAAAGATCAAGTCGAAGTCATTCGAATTCATGGTTCCCGCATTAAATATTCATTGCCGTATGTAGCAACAGGCAGTCCGCTACGTACGCTTCTTCTCCTATGAGCGCATAGAGACACTCGGTCGTGGGAGCGAGGGACAAGTGACTCAAGAGCGGCTATCATCAAAGACAGCGAAGGAATTAGCGAATATGGATCAACTTGGGAGTACAGTAAAAGCTCGTTACTACGAACACGAAGGGACCGACGAAACTGGTTCGTTGTACCGAAGTTTCGCTGTAACGAATGCCACTCAACACTATCCCTATGGCGAGCTGGCCAAAGCAGGAGAAATTCCTTGTTCGTTGTACCGAGAAATTCGTTGTAATGAGGGTCGTTATAACGAGCTTTTACTGTATTCTAGAAAAGTTCCTATGACTCGCTGTCCTTCCGAGGGAGAAGCGCGGCTGATCCGAAACGCTGCTCGTATCAGCTCATCGCGTTTCCGGATGGATCTCTGCCGGAGGGGAGGTTGTGGTTGAAACGTTTAATTCCTCCGACGACAAGGGGAAACTTAAATTAAGCAAAGTTGGGCGCGTTCCTTGCTCTGATCAAATTCTTGGTTGAGCGCGGGAGCGGAAGGGGTCGGACAAGAACGCGTGCAGGATGGGAAGGAGGGGGGACGCTGGAAGCCGGTGGGGTCGGGGGGGGGGCAAATTTGTGCAACAAGTAAAACTTTTTGAACTGTGCAGCTGGAACCGCTGCTGTTTGGCGGCCCGGCAAAAATTCCGATGCTCCGAAACCTAAGGGATGCAGCACATGGAAAAAACTGTATAAAACAAAGGGCAAGTTTGTGTTCACGACGGCAAATCCATCAGATTTCGCCCTCGCCGCAAAATGCAGAAGCCCATGCTTCCAAGCGGGATGGAGCGCGTAAGAACATCATCTGAGGCTCTCTCCGTTTTCTTATTCACACCTCGAGCCGGTAGACGCAGCTCCTGCGTTAAAATGAGTTATGGACTCCGAGCCGCACGAGCAGCTGTAATAATAAATGGACTGCTTTCGGTCAGGCGGGTCAGACTTGTCTACATTTAGGATCCGGGACAAACCCGTGAATGAACGGGCGAGCGACGGAGATGGAACAGATTTTTAAAACGAGGAATGTTTCTTACAGTATGTGTTCACTTCCCCCACCCCCCTGCGGAACGTACCTAATTCTCACAACAACCCTATCATCAAGTGACATGGGATTCCCTGCTTGTCGGAAGTAGCGTGCCGCTCCGATTGAGTACTTCAGGATCAAGCGGCACTCGGCCCGTCAATGAGCGCCGCGAGTTCTCCTAGATATCGCTTCTGGCTCCCAATCGATGGGCGAAGGAGTACGAGGTGGGGAAAGGAGCACCAACGAAACCGCAGAGAAGCGTTTCGCTACAGGTCGCACGGCTCTGCTGAGGCTGGATCCTAGGAGCAGGGTTTGAGTTTTTTGTCTTTTCACCGAGGAACATATTGCCACCGTTTGGCATGACTGCGCATGATCCGGCTTAGTGCAGTTCATATGCATGTTGGGGCTCGTTAAGGGTCCTTTCCGACTTATTAGAAACTAAGTACGAGATAATTGCGTTTTTGTGTTACGTCAGCCATGCTCGTGGAAACGGCAACTTCGCGAAGGCACATACGTCGGGGAAAGCTAGAATTAGGCGAAACTCCGAGATCGACTCCGAGGAAGCCCCGAGCCTCTCGACTGTGTCACGATTGAACCCCGAAAAACTTTTTCGTGTTGGACCACACTGCCAAGGTTCAACGTCCCCGAGCGTTCGAAGACCTGCGGCGAGGGGAGTGCCTCCGAGAGATCAAACCTTCCCATTCGCGGCCGTATATCTCCGCGAGAAGCGGGGATATTTCGCGGCGAGATACGCGAAGTCTCGCGACACGTATCGCACCACTGCCGGAAATCGACACGGTATACGGCGACAATCTGCTGAAAAATAGCCTCTCGCGTAATGTGTCGAGCCTCCATCATACTCAATAAGATAACTGACAATGAGCAATCCGATATCATGATTCCCAGTTTCCTTCGCATCGTCCGCGGAATAGCGAGCTGCCTTTTGTACCTCAGGATTCCATCATCCAGCGCTGGTTCCTGACAATGTTCTGCTCAGCATGCTTTTGCCGCGACAACGTACGCTAACAAAGGCAGACCGCAAGACGAAATACCTCTACAGCGATCCGGAGAGCCTCTCCATGATTCTTAATTGATTCTCGAGGAGACTCACTCGAAGACGAATTCTGTCTTTGGAAGAGGTTCGTGAGACCGTCGTGAGCACCGACCACTCGAAGGACGAGTTCGTGGTGACGTGATGACGAAACCCCGAGATCCTCAGCACGGGATTCTATTATGGTCGTTGATAGAGCTCTGGATCATCCATGGCTGTTGCGAAATATTCGGTGGGTGATTGTGTGTGCTACGGAACGCTCGTCGAAATCCGCTTGTCCCGAGAGAGGATGGTCTCGGTCGACTATCCGAGTTCTACGCCGTCGGAATATCCTCGCGTCGATTGAGCGCATAACGCTGGGTGGTATTTTCGAAGATCGGTAGGAAATTGATCGAATGCGGGAGCTGCAGTCCGGAATTCTTGTATCCTCCGAAAATCTCATCGCTCCGTTCTGATTTAGAATGTTTCGCATCGATTTTCCAGAGGACTCGTAATCGTGAGCCTCTTCCCAGCTCCGTCCCGAGTGGCGACCCAACTGAGGAAGTACTGTCAGTTTCTCTTTGGCATTGAGATGACTCCCAACCGCTTCGCTGATTCTTAATACTTTGACGACTTACGTTCGGTATTTCCCGACTTGGAGCTATGCTTCATTGCGACTCCTTGAATAGATCGAGGACTCTCTCAAGTTCCCCGTGATCCTCGCAGCGTCGATGGGGGAGTGCGTTGATTCCAATAGAGAACGCTTGCGAATATCCATCTGAGGAATTCATTTTTCGAATGCTCCCGCTTTGGATTGACTCTCTGTCAGGCCTCCGGGGATTCATCCGCGCGGTACGCCGATGTTCGGGACAAAACAGATTGCGGCCGACGCGCGACGAGAAATTCCTCGTCATCAGAGCCGAGTGGAACGCTGGAACGTTTGAGGGAGTTGTCTGACAGTTTATTCGAAAAGCATAAGATGAGACATGACTCCCACATTGGAACTCCCCGTCCAAGTTAGGTGCCATCTGTGGTAAGATGATGATCGCGGGCTCGCAGAAACCGTGCTGACGATATCGTGGAAACAAAGCCCCTTTTTCCAGAGATGGCGGCTCTCGCATGTGCTCGCGATCTATTATCGCTGCCTCTAAAGAATGTCTTTCATAGGCCTCGAGGATCTGGGGTCACTTCATATTCTACGTCGCCGCTTACCTCTCCCCCTGCGGTCGCGCGCCATTCGCGCCTTAATAGTCGTCAGTTTGCATTGACGAGTACTCCCAAGGGAAATTCTTCCTTCCCAAAGCTCCGTTGACCTCGCGCAAGAATTAAGGCAGAGCGAGACTTCGATGCAGAGGATGAGGGTCTTCGTTCCATTATTTGGATCATGTTGTTCTTTGCATACTTAGTTAGTGATTTTCTTCGGCCCCAACGACGAAGAAGCATCGATGAATGTTACAATCCGAGTGGGAGGGCATAAATGACTTTGTTCGAAGATATGTATTCCGAGTTATTCGAAGCGTCGGGTGCGTCTCTGCTGCCGGCCTTGGCCCGATTCTCTCACAGCTGTCTAAATTCACCGGGAGGAAAAGGAGGCGAGACCGAATGGCTATGCCCAAGGTTCCGGAGGAGGTTTAGCGGGTAAGTGCAGAGGAGGAACTAGAGAGGGAATTGCATGCATTGTATGCAAATCTCAGCGTCATAGGCTGTCGGTCGTCGTAATATTGCGCATACGAGTTCCTTTTCCGTTGAAGAAGCTCCCGAATCCGCTGAGAAAATCGAACAAGTGAAGTTACAACGGGAAACGTTTCGTTCCAGGAGCCGATCCCCGCGAGCGGCATTGCTCCGAACGCTAATTCGTTGCGAGCCAGCGGGTGAAGGCTCCGAGGAGGTCACAGTCGAAGACAATGCCTTGCCGCGGAGAAGACCTGTGTATTCGTCATCATTTCGGGTCCATAGAATTTCTCGCGCTTTCGATTAAACTTCGGGTCTTATCTTGCGCCCTAAGAGATAGGATACACTCGATACTCACAAAGGCCCCAATATCAAGTGCACCAAGTTTTTGGATTGAGCTACGCACCCGGAATGGAGTTGGTGCTGCGGCTTGAGCTTATTCAGCAGGACGATCGATCGATCCCTCGCATCCTTGCTCAGGCGGTCTACTGGTTGGTCCACGGGTTGTTCGTTCTGTGGGTTTAAAGGGAGCTTACTCACTCCTGTGTTTTTCAACACAATTTCGTTGTTTCGCACGCAAGTCGCAATATCCCTAGCGGCTCCGAAGTTTCTGCAGAGTTTATGGAGCGCAATAGCGACGCGTTGCGTGCACGCAGTTGAACAACTGTTTGCCTCTATCGTTGCCTTCCTCCCGGTTCCTACTTTTTCTACTTCCTGCTCCGATATGAAACTTGCACTCTTCCACTAAATGAAGGAATAGGTATAGGAGGTGAGGCTCATTGCATTTTCCGGAGTGCGTATCCCCCCGGGTCAATTTCCCACGGAGTCCAATCCTTGAGAAGATTTCTCCTGTCTCTGCCATGCAATGCAACTCGTTCATCCACCGATTTAGCTTTGGCATAATCCGGGCTAAGCTCGTCACGAGTATCGCAATGATATCAAATATCACCATCCGAAGAAGCCGATTGGCTGCGGTTCAGAGTCAGGCGGGGACGTACGCGTTTCCCTCGGAGCTGTTCACGGTTGGTCTTCCCTAGTCAATAATTCAGTTTGCGGCCTGTTATTCATGATTTCGAGGCCTCTCCCGCAGAGGGCTCGGTCGCGGAACGTTGGGAGCTGAGCACGTGCGACCGGATTCCTGACGTGCGGAATAGATCCGGGACAGAGCGATCGATCAGAGTCGCATGGTGAATGACGAAAACGCTAATTGCGTAAGTCAGCTGAGCATATGATTTCCCTCTGAATGGCGGACAACAAAATGACTGCGAGCCAATGAAGGATTCATGTCGTCGACTAGCCGTCCGCGTCCGACCGACTCTTCGGCAAGCCAACTCGTCCGGAGAAATGGAAAAACGTTCCATCTGAGCGAGTACCGCCATCTGTCATACGAATCTCCCTTTTCAGTCCCTGGAGACGTTCTCGCGAAGACTGCGCGACGTACCGTCTCACGCATAACGCGATGGAGACGTCGAGCTCTCTCACGCTTGGCCGATAGACAACTTTAGCGACGAGCTCACGCGAGGAGACCTCACTCTGGTCTCACAAACCGTCGATTCGAGTTCTGGCAAGACGTACTCGGGCTATAGATGCGAAAATCTGGGCAGCGCTCTTCCATGTATCTTCCGCCGGGTGGATACCGCGAATGCGGTCAGGGAGTCTCCCGACAAATCCGCGACGACTTCTTTGTCGGACAGACGGATTTTTCCGAGATAAAACCTATTCATGGCTACGAGCTTTCCCCCTCTCCTGCGCCGCGCATTGGTCGACCACCGCCATGCTGACGACAATCTACACAGCTGAGCGGACTGCAGACCACCACCTTCCTTCCAGCGACCAATTTGTGAGCGGCTCGACGCTGAGCACAATGCCGTTATGTACTCTAAGAACAAATCTCCCTGCGTCGAAATTCAGCACGGATTTCGAATTCGAATTCGCCCTTCAAATCGCTAAGGTGCTACAGAAACCGATCGAGGTGAGCCCAGATCGATGAGGATCGACATCTGTCGAATATTCGTAGCCTCGAGTCGAAAGTTGACAGAAACCGGAACAATAACGCCGAAAAAGCGACTCCCCTCGCCATCGTAGTTGATGGACACGATTCGTTGTCTCCTTCGAGTTCTTGATGCGCTCGGTTGTCGCACTGAATGGAGGCTAGGAGTAGTCGTGAGGTTGCGCTCCGAATGCTCGACGGCAGGTAAAAAGAAATGGCGCAGAACTATGGACTGGGATCATGATGATGATATGCAAACCCATACACGACGCGGGACTTCGTGTATTGGAACCGAGTGTATAGGCAGCGTGGGATACCACGATTCATGGTTGGGGAATGATCTCCCGACATTCGGCACCTCGGTCATTCGTGAGATAGAATCCTCAAGATCTCGACTGTCGTTTTCTAGAAATGCTCAGAGTCCCTTTCGGGCGCCGATCGCTCATTGCGTGGAATGGACGCGCTGTATCTCCGGTGAAAATATTGTTCCTTTTGTTTTCAGAAAGTAATCATACACGTGGACCACGAATGTAATATTCGCCGTGGAGGTGACAAAGACAAGCCAGTGCTCTGGCTCAACATACAGACGATAGATCGATTCGACAAAGACTCCAACCACAAGTACGGCCCGCCTATAAAAACGTTTCTTGCAAACGCGCTATCTCTGGATGAGAAGTAGTAAGTTCTTCAACCGTCCCGTTCGCTTTGAGAAGTCGTTGATAAATTATCCATAGGCAATCAGAGTCATGTATGATACTGACAGGGTTTTTCGTTCGCAGTATCACTATCTCTTTACAAGATCTATCTGCAGCGAATTTGTTCTGAAATTGTTCGTCGATGGCCAGAGCAAATACAGTGAACTCCCAAACTGGTTGTCATCACTAAACGGAGTATTTCGGAGCAAATAATATATTTTTTCGGATAGCGTCCTATCTCGGAAATTGTCGAAATCAGCATGGACGAATGCGATAGCCAGGCAGTAGTGAGACTTTCCGAAGAGAGTCCCACGTCCCATCCTAGATTTTTGCGGATCCTCGATCGAATTGACGAATCAAAAATCAGGGAGATCCAGCGAACCTTAATAGCGCTCCTCCCCACGTACTCTCGAATCGGGATGGTTTCATAAAGGCATCAATAATGCCTCAGTCTCGGGAGAGACCACCAGACCGGGAACAAACAACGACAAAAACAAACAACTTGAACTTTCCAAGGGCAAACAATGCCGACGGCCTCAGAAACAGGACTCGCCAGCAGTTTCAGTACAGTGGTCCTCCATTCGCGGCTGAACGGACCGCTACCTGACTTTTGGGACTTACTCGGATCAAGCAGTTCCGACGAGTCTCGTTCGGAGTGAAACAGGCTCCTGGCGGAGCGGAACGAGACACTCACTTGATCGGCCACTCACTTGATCGGCTGGTGCGTGGGAAATTCAATCAAGCGGATTTCGAGCTGATCTCAGCGATTCGGAGCCCGAGAACACCGGCTCCCGAGTTCCTGGGGAATGTCGACGCAATCTGGGCAACCGTGTTTCAATGTCGCCGTGGTAGGATCATGGAGAATTCGAACGTAGTCTTTCCTCTTCTAAAAACTCCGATTAGCGTGCTCGACCTGGAGCGGCATCGTTGCTCGGTTGGTGTCTACGAAAACGAGCTGCTCTTAGCGACCAGGGATCGGCGTAAGGTGGGGGAGAGGAGGAGCCAGAGTAGCAAACCCAAAAACCTGTCGCTCTATTTTTCTCCCGCAACCAGTGTCGTCTTCCCGACGCACCCGAGCGGCACGACCGGCGAAGAGGCATAGCTCCGACAGAGAAAAACTCTCACGGTAAATAAGATCGGTCCCTGCAACGCAATCAATACGGCTTATCGACGGCGCCGGCGCGGCGCAGGGAAAAGGATCGGGAGTGAAAGACGCACTGAGCAAACGAAGCCATGCACGTTCGACGCCGGATTTGGAATTGAGTGAGCGAGTGAAATCCTCTCGCGAATAGGAGTCGTCGAATCAATGAGCCGGATCAAATCAAAGCGAATGCAGCCGAAGCCCTCCCTCGACACTCGAAGATTTTCCCCCAGCTCAGCTCTGCGAGTCTTGGCGACCGTAGCCCGTAAGCCAGAGAGCGGCGAGGATCAATGACCGAAGTTACGGACAACTTCCCGATGATGTCATCGAATCCGACGGTACGACTCACCGTCGCTAGGACGTAATTTTCCATCGGAGTCATCTGATGGAAGTCTCTCGGCTGCCGTCGCGAACATCATCAACAAACTCGTCGTTCGAACCATGCGGGCGCTCGGGAGCTTCTCCCCCGACTGCATAATGTTAATATTAATGAGTTTCAGAGCGGGTCTTTCCAGTCGCGATGGGAGCTCCCCCGTCCTGAATTCCCTTCCTTGATTTTTCAGGTTCACACTGGGTATCGACATCCGCTGTGCCAAGAGCAGTATTCCTGTTTCGGTGATAATTTTGCGTTCCGGAAGAGACGATTGTCACTACGTCTAGGCGGGAGAGAAATTTTCGAGGGCTCGGATTCTCGACTCCGATTCAACAGTCGAGATAATTGAGCTTCGACACTTCCTGGAGCCCGGAGCTATGCGGGCCGAGTCGCACCGAGAACTTGTCTTTCAAAGACGGGTCCTCCCACGTTCGAAATCCGCTCCGATCGAATATTACACCTCTCTTCTCTCATTGACTCCGCCTAGGACTGTATTCCGTGGAGTGGGGGGACCATCTTGTTATTAATAGATGTCGCATTGGGAAACTGCGGTCTCCGCATGCATTTATCCATCAGGCTCAGGATAGGTTTCATAGCTCCATCCATCGACTCTTGCTTCGCTCAACCAACGACTACGATGAGTACGCCTCTGGCAGTTCAGTGATTTCCTCATCGGCGGACCGCGTTTCGCAGGTTCAATTCAGTAGGGCAGCTGGGATGAGACGTTCTGAAGAATGAAGACATCGGTCCATCGTATCTTGAGAGTGCGGAAGGAGCAAGTCGCTTCGACGCGGACCAATCCTACGTCGATTCATTCGGCCTGCGTTGCGTCGAGTAGGGCGCGAGCTCGCCGAGCTGAATCCTTGCGAAAATTTTAAGTTCCCACGCATGGCGGAAATTCCACCGTTTTTTAGCGAAAAAGCATTAAGCGGTTTGCCGTGACCTTCGATGTATGATACCTTCCCCCTGATGGCTTCCCCCACATGAAACGAGAAATCGGATCCGATTCTCTGTTTCCAAAGGTTCTCTCTGGTTGAACTCACGTATAAGGCCTGACGTAAGTGGACAGCAGAGTGGCTGAGACGTAAGCTAGCTCCACTGTCGAGAAAGGGCTCGCGAGATAATGAAGATTGTGTCAGCGAAATCGACTTGGCGCTGTTGCTATTGCAGAGAGGGATTCGATGGCAAAGAAAACGTCATTACCGGAAGACTGGAAAAAGAGTTAGCCGGCTAGGAGCGTTTTAGGCGTAAACGCATTCCAGTCAGTGCTCACACCAGTGAGCCGGGTGTGAGGACGGCTGTTTCCGGGTTGTAATTCTTCCAAAGCGCTCCGGGACCAGAGAATGTCGTTTCCATTCGTACCATATTCTCTTGAGCAGCTTGGCTCGCACAGGATAGAAAAACGGCGGCGTCGTTGCGTCTTTGCGTCGCTTATTAGGCCGACGGGAGGAGAACCGAGAGGAGTTCTTCTCCCTCGTCATTCGCGGAGCTCGTTGCTCTGGTTGAATTTACGATTGTCCGGTGTAAGGTTTCCCGATGTGAATCAGCGTCGGAATTCTAAGCCTTATCCGGTGTTGTCTTCACCACTTCGAAAGCGATTTTTCTCTAGATCTCGACCGTTCCTTCCCGGCTGTCCGGAATTCCTCTGAGGTCGCGGTACGTTCATGTATCGGTCCAACGCACGTTTGCTGTTATTGTTCCTTCTGTTCGCTGATGGAAGAACGACCTCGGCGACCAAGAGAAAATGGCTACTCGGATGTTTTCTCCCTCTGGATTGGATAGATGTCCAGAGAGGTGGATGTGTACAAGTATTCATGTGTTCCCCGATGAGAAAGCACCCTGGTTACTCAGCAACTCCGAGTCGACTCATACGCCAGTTGTCTGACAGACGGGATTGGTATGGCAAGCACACGCTCGCTCGACCCTCCCCCTCAGCGATCGACGTGTCGGTATCCCGTCGTCCCACCCATCAGCTTTATTACGGGTCATATTTCATAATCATTCTCCTGGCGATGATGATCCCCATGACGAGCCATTCGACGAGTGTTCTCCCAAGTTAATCAGGATAGTATAGTCAATCGGATGAGGGTGATAATATCGAATCGATTATAATCCCGCATCATATCGCCAGCCCCAATAAACTCACTTATACTTCGATCCCTGGGAGAGAAGGACAGTTCTCTCCGGGAATTCGGAGTCTTATTACTTCTTCCTACGTCCCGAGAGCGCTGGGCTCTTTTCGAGAGAAAATCCTCGAACTCCCGCTCCGAACGTGGGCTCGCCGCTCGAGTGCAGTTGTCGCGCTCGCAGAAGTGCTTCAAGTATGATCATTATCAGGCTGACAATTGCGGTCTGCGGTGCTTAGCGACGATACGGTGCCAAATAGCCAGTCAGCCATCCACGACACTGAGTTGATGTTGCCGCTCTTGACCACACCGCAGGAAAATGCCCGTGAGGCATTACTCCTCGAAACTACGAGCCCGGGGGGGAGGGGAGAAAGCCGATGCCGGAACGTGAAGGGGAATTGAAGGACAGAGAGGTCCAGGACGGACCGAACTGCGCGCGGACGCGAGGCACCGGAGTTTTGGCAACCCTTATTATTCTCCCCTGTCACTCGTCGTCGAACCGGTCTGCCAAAGCAACTGCGCCCCGTCCACCTCTGTCGTTTAGCCTCAGGCTACCGCAGCTCTAATTGGAGCAAGCGCCTTCCTTGTGAGACCTCGCGACGACCATGGGATGGACGCTTCAGCCGCACCACTTTGAGCGCCTGCCTAGACAGTCAGTCAGTGAGTCGAAGCCGACAAACAGGCCTGATGGTCGATGGCCGTCGGCCGCCCGGCCAGCCAGCCGGACGGGCCGGCAGGCGGAGTCAGTCAAGCAGTGAGTGCTCCGAGCTATCGGGCGAACGATACTTATTTTAGGGCTCGATTATAATTAATGGCATCGAGGCATCCATCCTCTTCAGCAACTTCTACGCAGCTGTCCCGACAGTTGCTCCGTCCAATCAGCGTGTACCGGATGACATGGAGAGATCACTAGGCACGCAAGTCGAAAGTCTCTCCGAGTCGATAGAAACGGGAAAATTCCTTCTCTGTATGTACGTAGCCCTCGTTTCTCCGGGGTCATTGAGGACGCTCGGAGTGGATTTGAAGTGCGCGCGGCCTTCCAACCATTCCTCATATGGGAGTGTCTAAGTCGAGACCACTCGCCTTGGAGAAGGCTCTTCGCGACCGTTTTGATGGAGCAGAATGAGGAAACAAGACGAAAATTTACGCATTGTCCATGCGCTCAGCTTGGCATTCCTCTGATCACCAACATGGATCACTAGATATCCCGGGAGCTGGGAGTACGACACCGTCGAATTGAAACAGCGTCCATTGGATCAGGTGCTCAGCCAGAAATTCTCCGGTAACCGTTGGCGACGGAGCGTTCCGGAAAGAACTCAGATCCTGAGGATATTCTGTGGGAGTTGTCACCCCCCTCTTCCATCCAAGCTCTCGATTTTCTTGATTTGAACTCGCTAGGCTGCTCCTGCTTCGTATATGTAGTGTTGCAGTTTCCAATCTATCCCGTCGCTCGCAGAGTCATTTTAGCGTCGACGAATTCCTTTTGGCAGAGAGAGTTTACATTCTTGATTCAAGTCATGTCTGCAGG